TTGTTTTGTTTGGGTGCACCTAACCCAAACAATGCTATTTTCAATCACTTCATATGATGTGAATGCTGGACAATGAATAAGTAAAAATGCAGAATACTTGATGCATTTGAGTTATGGTGTTGAATATTGAAATTTCCATGGAGTGCCAGAAAAAAACACAACACATCTGTCTTGGAAGAAGTACAGTCCAAAGGCTGCAGTAAGCAGAATTCATCTCAGGCACTTTGGCCATGTTATCAGGAGGGCCCAGACTGTGGAGAAGAACATCTAAAAAATAGACAAATCACTGCCCTGAGCCGATTCCAACTCCTATGACTCTAGGTAGAGTTTGAATAGAGGCTGTAAACCTCTCGTTGTACAGAAGCCTTATCTTTTTCCCGCAGAGCAACCCGTGGTTTTGAACCATGGACCATGCTGAGATACGTAACCATGGGGCCATCAGAGATCCGTGGAGAAGAACATGCTGTTTGCTAAAGTAGAGGGTCAACATAAAAGAGGAAGATATTCAATGGCATGGCATGACACAGTGGTTGCCACAATGACTCAAACCGAGCAATAATTGGGAGGCTGGCACAAGACTGGGCAGGGTTTTGTTTTGTTGCAAGCAGACTCACTGTAAGTCTGAGCTGACTCAAGACCCACAATAACTACAATGGGGGCAGCTTGAATTTTTGCCAAACACTTTTCCAAAGCAGTGGTACCACTTTACACTCCCATCAGCAGTGTGCGGGAGTTCTAGTTGCTTCACATCTTCTCCAGCACTTGATACGGTCACTCCTTTTCACTACAGTCACTCCAGTATTTGTGCAGTGGGGTTGCATTGTGGCTTTAACTTGCAGTGACCTGCTAACTAATACTGTTGAGCATCTTTTCATGTCGTTACGTACATGTATATATCTTGCTTTAGGAAGTACCTGTTCAAATCTCTTACCCAGTTTTTTATAAGTTGGAAATGAACTTGAGTCCAAGTCCACTTCAGTTTTCCTTTCACTCTTTTGTTAGCTCCTCAGACCAATATTTAGATATAAGGGGTAAGGACTCTGTAGGGTGAGGGTTTCATGACGTAATTTGTGTGTGTGTGTGTGTGTGTGTGTGTGTGTGTGTGTGTGAAGTCCTCCATTTTTGTCCTCCCTCCTCCCTCCACTTTCCTGTTCCTGCCCACATCCCTGACCCCCTCATAGTCACCCAAACCTTGTCCATTCACTGGTGTAGCATCCATGTTTCTTTGTCTTTGTCTTTCTTTAAAAAATCATTTCACTGGGGGCTCACACAAGTCTTATCACAATCCATACATGCCTCCATTGTGTAAAGCACATTTGTACATTTGTTGCCCTCATCATTTTCAAAACATTTGTTTTCTACTTGACCCCTTGGTATCAGCTGCTCATTTTTCCCCCGCCCTCCCCACTCTCCTCTCCCTCATGAGCACTTGGATAATTTATAAATTATTATTATTTTGTCATATCTTACACTGTCCAAATATATATCTTTGTAATATTGACTGAGTTTGCCAATACTAGTGTTCTTATAGTTTTACTCCTGTCTGGTGGCATTTAAGATAGTTGTCGGGGGTTTTTTTGATGCATAATATTCCATAGTATGAATGTATCAGAGCTTGTTTATCCATTCCTCTTTATGTTTGTTTCCATGTTTGGGCCATGATCTCATTGCTGCGATGAACAAAGGCGTGCATATGTCTGTTAGTGCTGTGTGATTTCTTTAGGGTGTGTACCCAGTAGAGACACCGCTGGGTCATAAAGCACTTGGATTGGGATTTGTTTGAGGATGTGCCATACCGATGGCCACAGTGGTCGTACAGTTCTACAGTCCCACCAGCAACATCAAAGCATTCCTCCCTCTCGGCATCCTCTCCAGTATTGGTTATTTTCTGTTTTGTTGAATTTTGCCCAAAGTGTAAGCATGATATCTCATTTTTTTTTATTGTATTTCTCTTATTGCTAATGATTATGAACATTTCTTTTTTTTCTTATATATTTATTTCTCAAATTCAGGATTTAAGAGGCAGAGGTAGATTGACCTATAAAACTATGGGTAGCTTGATTCAGTTTATTTGAACAGTACTCTCTCATGTATTCCTAGAGAATTATCCTCCTATTTAATGTTAGTGCAGTTATAATTTTGTTTTTGTTTTTTTCTTGCTTTTTTGCTTTTTTTTTTAAATCAATTTATTGGGGCTCATACAATTCATCACAATACATAGATCAATTATGTAAAGCACATCTATACATTTGTTGCCCTCATCATTCCCAAAATTCGCTTTCCTCTTGGGTTCCCGGAATCAGCTCATTTTCCTTTTTTCCCCTCCCCCTCCCTTCCTCCTCCCCTCTCATGAACATTTCTTTACATGGTTGTTGGCTGCCTGGATTTTGTCTTTGGTAAATTGTCTATTCATATTTTGTGCCCATTTTTTTATTGGATTGTTTGTTTGTTTGTTTCTTGTTAAGATGTAGTTTTCTAGAGGAAAAGAACTTGTTTTTATGTTTTATAATTGTATAATATAAATTTTTCATTTATATAACAGTTCTCTTAAAAAGCAGATTTTAATTTTTTTTCTTATTTTTTCAGGGGAGGGGCAGCTTTTAATTTTAATGTCACCCAATTTATCATTAGTTTCCTTTCTCTCCCTCACTCTCTGACTCCCAGTCAAATTGGCCTTCTTCCAGTTCCTGATACATGCCAGGCTCATTCATTCATTAGAAGCCTTTTGCTGTTCCCTCTCCTTGCCCTCTTCATTTCCATTCACCTCATTAACTCTTACTCATCCTTTGAACTTGACTCAAAGCCACTGCTTCAGGACAGGCTCTGCCTGACAAACTCCACCTAGATTAGGTTCCTCTGATATATACTATCATAAAATGTCTTTCTTTCCTTAAAAGGATTTATCTCAACTTATAACTTACATGTTATTTGGGGGACTATTTGTTCATTTTAACATGTGGCTTTAGTGCTGTGTTAGACCAGGTTGTCTAGAGAAACAAATGCAGTGACACTCATCTATTTATAAGACAGAGTTCTATATTAAGAAGTAATTACATATCAAGAAGGCAGCGCAGCCCAACCCAACTCAAGCCCATAAGTCCAATACTAGTCCACAGACTCACAAAGCCACATACTGCAGGAAGATTGCAGGCTGGTGGGTGCAGAGTCGTGTGGATCCGAGGTTGGTAGAAAGATGGTAGGACACCAGCAGCTTTCAGGATCAGTGTCAGAGTCCCAGCAAGCAGGAAGACCAAGGAAGCAAATAGAGGGAGGGAGGTTCCCAGTTCCCCCTTGGCTATAAGAAGGCCACACCCCTAGGAGGCATCATCAGGCTGTGACCTGATTGACAAGTTGGATCCTACTCCTACATTTTTATACATCTTCAAGTTGACATAAAATTATCTCACAATTACAAGTGTCCAGAATATATTAAACACTATGTGGCATTTATACAATTTCACGTCAACTTGATAAAAGAATAAATGGGTGGAGTATAGCCTTGTCAATCAGTTCACCGCCTGATGATCCCTCCTTGTGGGCATGGCCTTTTCATGAGGATTCTGGGAACTTCCTCTATTCCTCCCTGAAGGTAGGACACACTCTCTCTGCTTCACCTTCCTGTTGAGGAGCCATGTGAAGATTTGCACCCGTGCCGAGATGCTTCCAACCACCACTGGATCCACAAGACTTTTTTACCCACTGGCCTGTGATCTTCCTGCATTTGGCATCATTGCATGTGCTGTGTGAGTCTGAAAAGGAATTCATAGTATTGGAGATACGGGCTAAAATCAGACACAGACTTGATCTGGACTGGGCTGGGATGTTTTCTTATGATACAATTACTCTTTGATATGGTGATATGGTGTTACCTCAAACAACTGGGAATTACATTCTTTATGATCCAGCAATACCTCTGCTAGGCATACACCCTAAAGATGTAAGAGCTGTAACATAAACAGACATATCCACTTCCATGGTCTTCGCAGCACTGTCCACAATAGCAAGAACTCGGAAACAGCACAAATGCTGTAAAAGAATGGATACAGAAATGTTGGCACATATGCACAATGGAGTACTATGCATTGCTAAAACACAGTGATGAAACCATGAAGTACTTCGCAACATGGATGAACCTGGAGAGCATTTTTTGTTGTTAGGTACCCATAGCAACCATCTGCACAACAGAACAAAACACTGGCCAGTCCCGCGCCGTCCTCACAACTGTTCCTATGCCTGATCCCAGTGTTACAGCCACTGTGTCCTTCCATCTCCTCATGGGGCCTTCCTCTTTCTTGCTGCTCCTCTACATTATCAAGCATGATGCTCTTCTCCAGGGATTGGTCTCTCCTGACAACATGTGAATGTAGTTAGTCAATTACAGAAGGACAAATATTGTATGAGACCACAACTACCAGGAACAAAACCAGGACAAGACTTGCATACCAAAGGGAACAGACTTTGGAGATTCCCAGGGGAGGGAGGGCAAACAAGGGAAGATGAAGCAACAGATGAGAAGATTGACAAGTATTGACTCAGCTAAAAAGGAGGATAGAGACCCATGAGAGAGAGGAGAAATCAGGGGAGAGAATATGAGGACTGAGATTGATGAACTGCTGAACGTAAAGCTACCACCTAATTTATTTTAAATTTCATAAATTAAAAAATATATAATCCCAGAAATGGAACAAATTATATATTCAGAAATATTTATTGCAATAGCATTTATGATTTCTAACAAAATGGAATTTCCTAAATTTCCATCAATAGAGGAATGATTATATAAACTCTGGGATTATATAAATGTTATTATTGTGCAGATCATATTTTGTAATGAAATCATTGCATTCACCATTGCACTCTGCCTGAAAATTGTAGGATCTCTGAAGACTAAGGTCTTCCCACAGTGTGCCCAGCAGCTAGCTCAGTTCCAAGCTGGCACTCATATATTTGTTGAATGACTCTACGCATGACTGAACTAAGACCTTTCTTTATCTTACTAGGCTGGGAGTGATGGGGAGAGTATTGGAAACTGTCCCTTTTGCCAACGCATTTTCATGGTCCTCTGGCTGAAAGGAGTTAAATTCAATGTGACCACTGTTGACATGACCAGGTAAGAGAAATCAAGAGATAGCTCATTTGGGGGATTGAGCTAAGTAGCTACCAATGAAATCTTGGTGTTGGTGTAATGTGCATTTTATCTATAGGCCTAACTCTGCTTATTTTCAATCATCATAGAAAGCCTGAAGAGCTGAAGGACTTAGCCCCAGGTACCAACCCTCCCTTCCTGGTGTTTAACAAGGAGTTGAAAACAGACTTCATTAAAATTGAGGAGTTTCTAGAACAGACATTGGCCCCTCCAAGGTACAGCATTTGACAAGAGACGATCGTGCTTGTGACGGTCTCTTTTACTCTCCTGTTTGTTTCCGTTTGAGAATCATTCCTTTGGAAATCTAACACCTTTTTCGTTTCCAGGCATCTTTTGCTATCTTTCAAAAGAAGTTTTACAAAGATTCCCTTGGATCATATATGATTAGAAAGTGTTACTAGGGAATTATTTAATTTATGTAGATAGTATACCAGGGAGTTTCCAAAGGTTCAAATTATTTGTTTAATTTATATAGATAGTATAAAAGGGATCTTCAAACAGTTCACAGGGAAATTCCATTGTCTTTCTATTCTATTTCCCACAAGCCTCTTGAAGACCCTCCTCTTAGGAACTAGAAGTGGAAGGACTTGGAAATCTGGGTGAGGCTCAGAAATCTGAGCTTCACTTACTTTCAAAGCTGTCCTTGATCCTTGATGGAGACTGGAGACATTGGCATTGAAGTAAATCTGACTTACTTTATTGTCGACCTCTCAGAAAAACTCCAATCTTGACATAGCCTTTAATTCAGTTTGATTACTTAAAGTTGGGAAATCTAATCATAAAGTTATTTGTGATTTTGGATCCTCCATGCTAAATGAAGCACATGCATAAATCTTCCCCTTCAACTACATAAAAGTAAGAAATTTAAAATTTCCCCCAAAATGTTTAGTACGTAACATACTTTTAAAAAGGAAAGTAACTTATCTGTGAGCTAGAACTCCACAGTGGGGTGGGAACGAGGTGGCACATTGCGAACACTGTGTAGCCTGTGAGGACAGGTGAAGACTGGGGCTGACTAGCCTGATGGAATACATGCAGAACGCAGTCAGGGCACTGGCTCTCAGCTAGAGCTCAGTTTCCTTGCAAGCTCCTTCAGGTTATTGACAAATTCCATGACTTGCAGCTGTATCACTAAGGTTTCTGTTTATTGGCTAGCTGTCACCAGGGTCCTTGTCCAGTTCCTGTGGGCAATCCCTTTCCTCTAAGGAGAATGTCTCTCTTATGCTTTATCTCCTTTAAAGGCTAGCCTGATTAGACCAGGCCCACCCAGGACAATCTCCCATTCTATTAATTCAGTCAACGGATTAACAACTTAATAGTAGATATGATATACCCTCATATTCAAAAATACTGGCCATAGAGGTTGGCAAGAATTAAAAGTAACATAGGCAAAAACTGCTATATAAACACTCCTGCACTCGTGCGGATCCACAAGTAGATACTTGGATAGACACACACTGAACAGGTATGGGAGGGAGAGGGGAAGTGCTTCTGAAATACAACCAGACCCCCCAGGGAATGAGTCACTGGCGCCTAGGAGATCAGTACCATGGTCTCGGGAAATAACAAGGTCTAATGATACATGTGTTCACAAAAGCAAGGTTTCACATCCTGCTTTTGTGAATGCTGCCCGAGGGCAGCCATCTAAGGTGCAACCACTAGGCTCCCCATGTGGAGGACAGAAAAGTGGTGAAAATCCAAAGACACGTGGACCTAATCAGTCCAGCAGACTAAGGGACCATATCCACATCAGTCTCCCCGCAACCCTGAGACCAGAAGAACTGGGTGGTGTCTTGCTACCACTACTCGGCACTCTGAAAAGAATCACATTAGAAGGTCCCTATAGAGAGGAAAACGGGGAAACAAGACTCAAAAGTATAAAAAGTTCAGGTTTCCTGGTCTGACAGGTACTCGTGAAAGCCTCAAGACTAGTCACCCTTTCAGCCTGAAATGGAACTCCTTCCTGTGGTTCAACTTTTAGCGAAACAATAGGCAAGGTTATAGAGTGAACAATAACACTAGGGAGAAAAATCAACCATTTGAGATCAAACGCTGCGTGATAGACAAGAACAACGTTCAGAGAGCAGGAAGGGTTAGGAAAGAGACGGAAAATGGAAAACAGGAGGAAGTGGAATGAGGGATATTACATTGTGGGGAGTGCAACTGACAGCATGAAATAAGATGTTTATTCATTATTGAACACATGCAAAGAGAGGAAGCGCAGGGAACCTAACCCTGAAATTCACCAGCTTTCCGACAGCTCCAGGCCTGTCATCGTCTTCTTCTTCAACACATTCTTCTCTATATATATATTTTTATAGATCATTTTTATTGGGGCTCTTACAGCTCTTATAACAATCCTTACATCAACTGTACCAAACACATTTGTATATATGTTGCCATCACAGGTGGCTTTAGAAACTGCAATATGGCAGTCAGCTCAAGCTATGACTTCAGCCAACTCCCAACCCAGCTTTGGGATAAAGCAGCCTTCAGGGCAGAACAAGCTAGCGTTTGGGGCATTTGTTTTCTTCTTCCTTTGTAGCTGTGTGATCTTGAGCTCCTTCCATCATTGACCCACATTCCCTGGCAACCAGACAAGGTAACCATGGCCCTGGTATCTTGACCAAAAGCAGCAGCCACCTCCAGCTTGGGGATTTCGGGTTTTTCTGATTTTCTTTGGTTTGTTTTCTTTCTTTCCTTTTTTATTGTGTGTGTTTTATTTGTGTTTCTTATTGTGCATCATACACCCTAAAGGGGGGTGTGAAGTTGGTTGCTAGGTTCTATTATTTGTGTTCTTGTTTTTGCTTTGCTTGGTCTGTCAATAATCCTTTCATGGAATTAACTGTCACCACATGATCGAGTCACCCCCAAACTTTCAATAGCTACACCTAATGGGGAAGGAACAGCATCTACATCAAGACAACTGGGTCAATAAATAGAAACAAACAGAAAAATAACACAATGTCTCAGACAGCAGAAAATATCAGTCCACATAAAAACAAACAAAAGCAAGACAGAGTGGCTCATACAAGGGATCAATGAGAGCAGAGACTCAGAAGTACCAACGAGGGTGTCCAGAAATTATGTTCAGGTGCTTTCAATGGATGGAGGAAAATATCAAGAGAGCTACCAGAAGAGAAAAGAAGAACAAGAAAAGAAGGTAGACAAGCAGGAAAACACTGAGGGCAATCTAACAGAAGATAATTAAAAAATTAAAAAGCATACAACAACTCCAAATAGAAATCCAGAAAACTACTAATAAGATATTAGCACTAGATAAACATGTTGAAAGAGCAAATCAGTAGAATTGGAACAATGGAAATCCAAATTACTGAGCTTGAAGACAAAATTCTTGAGACCAAGTTACAAGAAAACAATTTACTAAAATAACTGAGAACTCTGAAGAAAGCGAAGAATAATGTGTGACACAACTAAGAGGAATAACATATTTAACTAAAGTTCCAGAATCAACACAAAAAATAATAATAAAAAACCCACAGGGAAAATAACCCAACAAATACTGAAATAAAACTTTCATAAACTCATGACAGAGGAGAAAATAAGCATGTAAGAACCTGAAAGAACTCTAAAGAGGATTGGCCCCCAAAGAAAATTACTGTGGCATATCAGAGTCAAAATTCCCAAAATCAAAGACAAGGAAAGAATCTTGAGTGCAACTCAGGGAAAAAGGAAAGATGCAAATAAATTGGAACCAGTAAGTACAGAAACCATGCACGTAAGCAGGCAATGGAATGACATGTACAAAACTCCAAAAGAAAAAACAATGGCCAACCAGGAACCTTATTTTCAGCAAAATTATCTCTCAAATATGAGGGAGGAATAAGGATATTTTCAGACAAGAAAAAAATTAAAGGAATTTGTAAAAACAAGACCAACCTTTCAAAAACACAAAAGGGAGATCTTTGGACAAAAACTTGACATCAGACAGCGACCTGAGAATGACACACAAAACACCACTTTTGAGAAACCCGTGTACTCAAGCAGCAAACGAAGCAAAACAAACCTGCAAGCCTGAAAATAGGGAACCGGAGATAACATTCTGCAGTGAAGACAATAACAAAGAGAAGGCATAGAGTAGATATAAAAGAATCAAGTGGAGAGGAAGTTCAGTAGTTTGCAAGAGAGAATAAATTGTCTTAAATTTGGAAAAGAAATAATGTAAAGCAAGTTGACCCCAAGAAAATAATAAAAACCTCATTAAAATGAAAAAGAGGAAAAGCACAAATAGTGTGTAAACAGTTCAAAGAAGAAGAAATCTAAGGAAAAATGGCAATACAGCTCACAAAATTAACGCAACACAGAAAATTATGGTGAATAAAGAAAACAATAACCAAATCAAAACAAACTCACTGTCATTGAATTGATACCAACTGACAGCAACCCTGTAGGACAGGGTCGAACTGGTCCTGTGAGTTTCTGAGACTGTCACTCTTGACAGGAGTAGAAAGCCCTGTCTTTATCCTAAGGTGCAGCTGGTAGTTTTGGCCTGCTGACCTTGCATTTATCAGCCTAATGCATAACCACTATGCCACCAGGGCTCCAATAACACCATATACACAAAACATGCAGCAAAATTACAGCAGTGAAATCATACCTATTAATAATAGCACTGCGGGTAAATGGATTAAACTCACCAGTGACGAGACAGAGAGAAGCAGAATGGATAAGAAAACAAGACGTATTAATATGCTGCTTATAAGAAACACATCTTAGACATAAGACAAAAACAGATTAAAAATCAAAGGATGAAAAAATACATCACGCTCAGGGCAATTTTAAAAAGCAAGAATGACAATATTAATTTCTGATGAAGCCATCAGGGAAGATTAAAGCCACATATGAATAAGTTATAACCATAATAAATATTGATGCATCCTATAAAACCCCCTTAAATATATAAATTAAACGCATAGAACTGAAGACAAAGATACAATGCTACAATAATAGTAAGAGACTTCAATATACCAGTCTCAAAGTGGGACAGATCAACTAGGAAGAAAATCAATAGAAGAACTGAACAACAGAACTAGGCAACTTGATCTTTTAGACATATATGGAGCCCTCCACCCAACAACAGCACATGACACATTTTTCCCCAGTGCACATGGAACCCAATGCAGAGTAGACCATGTTAGACGAAAACACAAGCACAAATAAATTGAAATGCATTGAAATATAACAAAACATTTTC